AAAATAGTCTGGTTTTGTGCAATGATTTTTTTTTTATAAGATTCAGCAGCAGCTGGACTGCTAAATAATGAGAGTGCCAAAATTCAGATGGCTGTTTTAACCATTTTGAGCATTACTACAATCCTTACCTGTGTCCCAACTTTTCCACCCAAAGATGTGAATATGAAACTAACTCTTAAATCTTCAACTCTCCCTCATCCTTTCTATTTCTGACTGTTTTTCATGAAATTGTGACTTAGTGGAGATGAGGATGTAAAAATCTTAAGTAAACTCTTAAAAAGCAGTATGAGCAAGCTTGTGTGACCAGTTCTGTGGAAGTTCAGGTCCCAGGTTGATGCGTATTTTTCAGACCCCTTTGTCAGTACATCTGCAGTTCTTTTTTTCTAGCTGTCTGGCCCAGAGTACTCAAAAGAGCTGTGACTCTTTATGCTTCAGTTGTAGGTGTACCATTAATGGATTATTTGAGACAATAGCCACAACGGAGAAATAGTTTGACATTCAGTTAGAAATTTACTAATAAAATTTCTAGTATAAAGGTATGAATGTATATAGTGTAGTATGAATGTATAAAGGTAGATTCTTAAACAAGAATATGCAGGACGGTTGGCTGAAATTTGCATGTGTGGTAGTTATGACAGTGAATTAATCTGTTGAATAATTGGTCTTTTAAAGCATTATTTAGATAGTAGATTGAAAAATACATAATTTTTTAACTTTTAGAATCTACATTTAGGGTTTGAGAGATAATGATGGCAACAGTAACAATGGGAAACTTAACTTGTTGCAGCCTTGATACTACAGTACCTCTCTAATTTGTGTATATATGATATCTTCTGTGGAAATGACTAAAGAAGAGAAGATTCAGTCAAAGTTCTTGGAGCTGTGTTGTCAGTCATCTGCATTTTTGGAGAGAACACTCATTGGTAGTCAAACTGAAATATTTATAAGGAGGGGTGGGTTTTTTTTGAGTGTTAATTTGGGGAAGGGGAGCTGGCGAATCTGCTTTGGCAAATCTGCTCTTCGTGTGCCCCTCAGACTTTGGCAGTACGTTACATTTCCCCCACCAACAAAAGCCCTGGGGCAGAAAATCCGGTAGGAACATGGTCACCTTTTACAACACAAATACTTGATCTGTGAAGAGTCACATATGCTTGGCATGTTGAAAGCTGGCAGGGTGATGAGAAAATATAGTAAGCAGGCAGGTAACTTGAGATATGTTAGTTATAAGGAGGGTGGTTTAGTTTACTTCAGTTCTTGAAGTATAGAGCAATGTATTTTTTAAAGATCTTGAATGAAGTTACTTGTTAATCCTGTGAATATACAGCTAATGTCTAGTATTTAAGTAGGATGTCGAACTTACTCCCTCTGAAATTCTTATTTTGGAAATATACTGGTGTACGTATGTTTTTAAGTTTTGCGTTTAGAGTGGATGAAATGCATGCACTCACTTTGTGGTAAATGCATAAGCAACATGCTCTGATTTAGTTTCTGTATTTTTTTCTTTCATTAGTGGTAATTGCCAGTTGCTAAATAGTTAGGTAACTCCTTTGCTATTATTTGCTGTATTCATGCATTAACTGTGTATGATTTATCTGTTAACTCAACACTACACTAAACTCTGGAAGACTTGTGTTGTTGGGAGAATTTTGGAAAGGGGGATTTGTGGATTTTGTTTTTATATATATATAAAAATTATTTTTTTTACAAACAGCTTTTAAAAAAGCAGTGAGGTACGATATTTTTGTTTGCAGTGATTATTGTATATGCTCTGTAGGTCAGACTAATTTTCCTGAAGAAGGTTTGTTCCTCTTGAAGAGAACGAAATAATAGTCATTATATACAGCATAGAATCCTTAAGCTTTTGCTGATGGGTTGCAACCCTTGAGTGCTTAGAGATCGCAAGCAAGGCTGAGCTCTGCTTTGTTGAGGCAGTTTCTAAACATGTGGTAATAGCTAGAACTCCTCTCAAAAGGTCAGTGAGCACAATGGACAAGAAAAAAGCTGGGAGAAAAAATATTTTCGTTTTATGCTCCTAGTCAAATTGTGTGTTCAAAGATGCACAATAAAGTGTGGAAAAGCTTGACCAACTCTATTTTGGATTTTATTATTTTTCTGCATTGTATCTCATCAGCATGTTTGTTTTTGTTGACGTAGTGTTTTCCTACAGATATACAACTCGTATGGATGCTTTCTCAGTTCTGCTAACAGGCTCATCCCTTATGCTGGCAATTGACCTCTTAAGAACAATGTCTAAACAGAATCTCCATTTTTAGCTGTTCCACGTTTCCACATCACTCAAATGAAACACTAATGTGTGAAGATGGATGCATAGAAAGCACAGGATTATGATATCATATGATTTTCATCTCGGGTCTTAGAGGCTTGGTTAGTGCATCTTTAAATAAATAAATTTCCTTTGCTGTGTGACTCTTGACATCACTTTTTCTGACTGAGGGCTGATACTTCATTCTCTTTATCTTCATATAAATAGAAAATCCAACTCTCTTGCTTTGCTTTCTGTTATAAACAGTCTACATCAAAAAGAAAGCCTCTGGTGCAGGTGGTTTTCACTGAATGCTGCTATGCTTTATGATAAGAATCAAATGCAACAAGCAAAAACTCCCTTTTGAACTATATATATGCATCAGTACCTTGTATGCTGTCTCTCTGGGTTGTGTGCAGCTGTTTTACAATCTTTAAGTAAAAAAGACTAATACAAGTATTTTTAAAAACATTGTTTTTCAGAGAGGGACTTCTGTGAAAATATTTCATAAAAGAGTCTATTTTTCCAGAACAAGCAAGAAGCAAAAGGGAATCTGGCAGGCAAAGAATACATGCCTGTGTGCTTAATCATACTACACACATTACTGGTGCTTCCTGTCCTGTGCTCTTTATTGACCCGTGTCCAGGCAGTTGGTACACTACAAATCTTTTAAATGGCTTTAGTTCTATAACCACTAATTACAAAGGCATTGTTCCAGACCTCCATGCCCCAAATATTTAATTTTCTGCTCTTGCTCACAGGTGCACAGATGTACCGTAGATTTTCAGAAATGGACAATTGATTGATGATGGAAATAGAAGATATTTTTTTGGACTCTAGTTTTTCAGTATTGCTTTTCAGTAACTTTTTAGTTGCTGGTGCATTTTCTGTGAATAGAAATCTGGGGTATGACATCTGTAATTGTATAAGCAGTGGTGGTTCATGGATGTGAATAGTAAAGTCATTCCTCTTACTGTTGTTGGTGAGAATCTGTGATGCTTAGCTGTATTTGCATAATTTATCTCTTTCTACTCCTATGATAGCTTTTGAATCCTAAACTCTTTGGAAAAATATTGTAAACGGGGAAATGTTATGGTGCTTGTGTGTACTTAAAGCTTAAGCTGGAAAAATAAATGTAGCATTTTGAGTATTTGGTGATGAAAATGTAATGGGTAGTCAGGAATGCTGGAAGTACCTAATGATGTGTTTTAGCCAAAGTTCAGCCTGGAATTAGTAGCAGGCACTTTGTGATGTACCTTTTATTGTTTAGAAATGCTATTTATTAGTTCTAGGTGATCTGTATTGTGGTTTAATTAGCTATCAGAAGTAGTTAATGTGTTGTTTCATTAACCTTATTGATATATATAATGAATTATTGACAATGCAGCTTTTGTCTAGCTGTTAATGCAGCTTTATGGTTGAAAAACAAGTCTTTATTCATAAGCAGCAAAATATATAAATATATGTGCACTTGTCTGGACAAGGGAAAGGCTTTTTCAAATGTTGTTTCAACTTTGCAGAGTTGAGCAAAGGTCGGACACAGTGCAGTCACCTGCAGTTAAAATTGTTCCTCCTAACCTGAAAATGCCAATTTTTTGGGAGGGCAATGGTAGTTAAATCTGTGTGTAGATTTGGCTGACAATGTCCATAAGCAAAGAAAGAACTTCCCTCTACTACTGCGTGAGTCCTCATGGGCCTGAACTGAGGCCGATCGTGATTTCTTTTTGCTACACCTTAGATGGAAAACGTGATAGAGCTTTTAATACCTCACCCATCTAAGCATCGTCGTACTCAGTGCATGTAGTTGAAATGCCTCAGTTGTGTTTTTCCTGCTTTTATCAATATGTGCTATTTTTCAGTGTGTGAGTAAACATTTAGCCCTCTTTCATTCATGTCCTTCTTAAAAAAAAAAAAAAAAAAAAAAAAAAAAGCCCGAAACAACTGAGCACCCAAACATAAACTCTTCAGGTACTGGACAACATGAAACTTTCTCAATTAAAATACCATATGCCAATGTTAACTTCAGAATTGGCTGTTTGTTCATTATTCTGTGGAGTAACTTGCTGAACGCAGTTTTAAAGTTCTTGAGTACCCTGATGATTCATTATTATCAGATTAGACTATGCATAAATATATGGGATTCTTTAGAAGGTCTTATGTCAAGTACAGATTGCCAAGTTGCTTTTATACTGAGCAAAAAATTAACAATAACATCATAAATTTTGTTCTCTACAGCATCCAGTTTTTTTTAAATAATTTCTTTGGTTGCTGGCATCCACCTCAACCTCTGCTTTGCAGTGAAGTTTACTTAGTAGCATGTTTTCACATCATATGGCAGTCTTGTAGATAAATACTGATTATTTTGAATTATATTGCATGTACTGTATGTTGGGTGATTAGTGGACAGTAAGTTAAAAATATAGGTATGGGGAAGTGCTTGTGTATTGTAATTTTCGTGTTCTCCAGCTTCCTGACACGTAGTTTCTTAATTTGGGACTGTTCAAATATATTTGATTCTTGGCACTGTTCTTTAAACCTTACTTATCATAATCCAGTTTTCTGTTTGGAAATATCATCAGTTCTCTGAAAAACTGAATTTGTGGAAGAAAGTAAAATAAAATGTAAGTGTGCTTACATTTGTATTTTTTTTTCAAAGCTGTAAGATGTAAAACTGCTAAGCACCTCTGGAAAATAATTATAACAAGATTATCTTACTTTCCAAACAGGTGTCTGGAAAATGGAGAAGACTTTGAACAGAATTCATCCAGTTTCTGATCCAGAAGCAACATATTTTCTACAAGTATCATGGGAGAAAGATTTAGGCACTGGCTTTGGTATAATGCTTAGTGATGGTCAATGTGCATGGACTGGGACAGGTAATAATGGAAAGAAAAAATGTTTTAAATTATTACTTTTCTTTATTTTTAAACACTTTCTAAACTGTGACCCACAACTTGCATCAAAAAGTTTTTATGAGCATTACCTCTCAGTGATGGAGGAGGCAGGATTCATGATCTTCTGGGACTCAGAGATCTTTCAAATTTGGAAAGATCGTGTCAAACCTAATACTAATTCTATTAGTGTGTGGATATGCAATGTTTTGTTCTTTCTCTAGAGTAAAATTTCTTGCAGTGATATTGGGATACCACTTATGTATCTTCTCCAGATCAATGAACAAACGTGTCACGCAAGTTCCATTTGCAAATTATAGTTCAGGAAGCATTTAATTGCAGATGTTTTTTAAATGATTTGATAAAATCTTAATAATTAAAGATAGCTGTATTTGGTACTCGTGAATTTTTGAGAAGAAGGGACAAGAAAATATTTTTTTCTTGGGCTTGAGTTATCTGAAGGAAAAACAAAAAAGCCTGTGGGACTTTTTTCCCCTCACTCAGAAACCTGAATAAGAGGACAGGTCTCTTAAGCATGAATGAGAGGAGTATTCATATTTTAGCAAAGGAGGGAAAGATTTGTGTGGTCCTTTAGAAATATGTCAAATACTTGATCAAAAGCCCTTCTCTCGGTGGCAAAAATATTTCAAAGGGAGGAAAGAATGATATCTTTTAAAGAGTATTGTAGGCAGAAATGTTTTCCTGACAGTTTTTCTGAATTATAAGAATAGATGTCCATGTAGTTCCTTCCTTCCTTCTTCCTGCCCAGTGGATGTTGTTTCTCCCCAGTTCCTATGTAAGCTAAGCTTTCAAACAGCTTTATATATATATGTACACACACACAAACTATATATATGTGTGTGTGTATATAGTTCTTGTCTATAAAAAGAAGTTTAGTTGTTTATTAACCTTCTTTTGAATATAATTTTTACCTTTTTTTCTTTCAAACCTAGGAAAAAAGACTAACATAAAATATGTCTACAAATGTATTAAGTCTGCTCTTCCATATTTCTTTTAACATTTCAAACACACTATTGATTAGGAGTTCCTGCACAAGACACATACATATTCCAATGCTGCTTCCCTGTAGTCTGGTATGAAAGGTTTTCCTTTCTTGATTTGACAGCAGGCTAGTCAAACGATACATTTTCAAAATAATAATAAAAAAAAAAGTTAACATTGATAAATTCTTAACTAATTGAGCATACTATTTTTTTCCTGTTTAAAAGCTTTTCTTATGTAACTTTTAAAATACTAAGCTTAAAATTCACAAAAGGCTGATTCTTTAAATCTGTTGTTTTTCGAAGTAAAACCTATGTTACTATAACTGGAAGAGTATAGAAAAAAATATGTAAACACAGTTCTCATTTTGTTAACTTCCTGCATCTGGCAGAATGGCTGGATGATCCTTTCCCAAAACAGAGGACCAGTGAAAGCAAGACGACCTCACTCTATTAAAAGGAAAGAAAGGAACCCACAACAGTTTAGCATGAGCACTGGGTACTCATCCAAAGGAGAGAGCTTCTATTTCTTGTGCAAGAGTCCAACCCATTTCTAAAGAATCCCTTATTGAATTTGTAGTCCTTTGAACAATTTCATTAGGAGTTGTAGTTCTTGTGCATGAGGATTTTCTACTGCACAGATCTGTTTTCGTACACTCAACATTGGTTTTGATCACTTTTTCTAAGTTAGTACGTCATGTCTGAGACTGCTTAGATTCTAAATTCAAAACCTGGGAGGAGAGAAAGCAGTGGTCAGAAAATTCTTGCTTAGGGAAATCCCTTTTGGGTTTCTCATGCTGTGGATTATTTTGCTTGGCAAGACTTACCAGGAAGTGAATGAGAGTTGCTGATGGAGTTGTCTTTTATGGTTTCTGTATATTCAATGTGATGATGAAAAGTGTTGGGAGTCTTACTTAAGGAGGAAAAAAAGTCAAATGTTGGGGGGGGAGGAGAAGCACACAAGTATGCAATATGATCTAATGTATTCATTTGGTACTGGATTAAAGAACTACAGATATATGGATTTGTACATATCATGTTTCTCTAAAGATTGATCAGTTCTGCTAGTTTTAAAAGATAAAGGAACATGCAGCATGTACGGACACCACAGCAGAAAAAACCATAGTGCACTATTACAGTATATTAGTATCTTTGGGTTTTTAGCTTTCTTATTTTCATTTAAAGTTTATCTAATTTTCCTGGTTGTGAAATCACTGTTCTAGACAAACACTTATTTTTGCAAGTATTTCTGACTTACTTTTTCTACCTCTCTTTGTCCCATACTGCAAGGGCTTCCACACTTCTGTCTGTACTGTGTTGGGGGACATTGAGGGGATTGCTGACATACCGGTGGCCTTTTCTCTCTTGACTGTGTCTAGTGTCCTGTACAAGAAATAAACTAACTAATGAAGAAATGATTGGTGGCTCTAGCTTATAATAAAATAGAAATGCTTTGATGGTAAATTTCTTGCCTTTCCCACTCAGTTCTTGCTGTTTGTAGTGTATTGTTACTTCTGCAAGATGAGTGTTGACAAGTGTTGTAGCCTCAATTCTTCACTGTCTGGTAGGCTCAGATTTTTTCCTGACAGTAGTTCCACTTGTGTCATTTTTTTATACGAACATTAAAAGTGCCGCTTGCAGTTTTAAAAAAACCAAGATGCATCTGGCAATTGTTAAAGTCTTAAGCCTTTTTGATAACATCTGTTTCATGCTTAAAGTTTTAAAAATCTTGGAAAATACTTTTACTACTTCATCTAAGATACTTAGATGTGTTCAGTTAGGTTGGGGCTGAGAGTTGAACACTTGGCTTACAGTGAGGTAGGGAAGAACTGATAGCATGTGCAATGGCTAGTGTAAGTTTACAGCCTCCAGCTTTGCAGCACTCTTTGTAACAGTACCAAGTCCTGTTCTGAAATTTAAGACTGACTGTTCTGTCAGTCTTAATGCACGAGGATTAATGCACAACTGACTTTGACTTAGCAGTTGCTTGCAGTGCTGCATGCTGGCTTTGCTCTTGTTCATGTCCCTGTATGCCAGCTGCCAATGTCTGGTGCACAGGGCAGGAGGCAGTGATGCAGCATTGCAGCTAAATAGTGTGGCTTTGCACTCTAAGTCCTCTTTGTAGGACAAGTACTAGCTGGCTCTGTGCGTGGCCCTCTGTCTTGGCCCCTCTTTGTGTGTTACGAAAGGGTTTTACATATGAGAAGAAAGATGGTTGTGATTCCATGCAGTGAAAAAAGGATTCTGTTATGCCTTCATCCATTTTTTTTTCTCTTTCTCTCTCTCTGTCCTGTGTTCCCTTTCATAAAGATTTTTTTAAAACCCAACTTAGTGAAGAGGGCTGCTGCTTACTTTTGCTCTATTTAAATTTTTCTTGTTGGGTTGTAGGAATAAATTTGAAGAGTGTAACATGTTCTTCAGATTATGATACTAAAATATAAATGTTTTGAATTTTTTATTAGGTGTCCCATAGTATTTCAGTGCCCTAAAGCTCATGAGTATTAGGCTGCATACAAAAGCATGTATGTACAATTGTCTATTACATCTGCTGTAATAGACAGCAGAACACCATTTCCATTTTGGGAGATGTGTTTTTATGAACAACACACATCTTGAGTTTACAAATCTGTAGGGACATACAGTTGTAATATGCCACACTTCTCCCTGGCTTTTTTTTTTTTTTAATTCCAATCCCTTCCATTTTTATTTTCATTCTCTGCAATATAGATAATGCAGCTTAAAATTTAAGCACAGAAGCATCTTCTCCATTCTAGAAATACTGGTTATGAAGTTACTTTTATTTTTTGTTTATTCTAATGCATACTCCACAGCACTCCTATATTCTTTTTAATGTATAATGACATTTTTGCAGTTTCTGACATCAGCTGAATGTTTGTGTTGTTGCAGATCTGGTAAAATGCTATGTATCATGCCTTGCTCTTTTACTTTATGTTAAGCTAGTATGAGCGTGACAGGTTTCCTCTTGTACCTTTAAAAGAAGCCTCTTCTCTTTAGCAGAGAATACTCAGTTTTAAGCATTGTCTCTTAAGAAAAATATGTGGAACTTTGTGACAGACTTCAGACCGCCATGGGCCTGACATTTCACATCTTAGTGTGACAGACACTGACTTGCTTATGTATATTGAGCTTAGTTATATTTTTTTTTCCTCTTATCATAACTCCAAAGCAGTCCAGTTCCCTTGCATCCCTTTGCTTTCTGCTTTTGAAGGACCTAACACATTTGAATCTGCCTAGAAAAAAATGCCTTGCGGTAGGGGATAACTAATGTGACTCTGACCCATGAGTTTATCCTTTTACCTGAGTGTTTCTGCAGGCTCAGTTTTGCCACAGAAGGGGATGGTTTATCCTTGTGTTAACTGTTTGTTTCCTTCCAGTGGTGACCTTAGCATACTCTCTCTTGTTACCTGCATCTCCTTTTTCACCTAGCTGTTCTCCTGTGTCTTATAAAGAGAGTAGTAGAGTGGGGTGTTAGTGACTTACCTGCCTTAGCAGATTTTGCAGACATATGGTAATTAGTTAAGGTAATTAGCAAGGTAGTATTTCTGTTTTCTGTGCACAAACAGTTGATGTAGTTGTGAACAGATGACCTGATTATTGTGATCTGTCATGAAAAAAAAAAAAAAAGAGGCACAAAACCCCCAACAAAAACCCCAAATCCCCTGTCATCTGAGTCTAAGATCAGTAAATTCTATGTGTTTTCAATATTTTGAGATGTGTAGAGAGGAAAACTACAAAAGCTAGTACTTATGAACAAGGAAGATCTGGTTGGGTAAGTCAAAGCTGGGGGCAGCCTTTGCCTGCAGTGACTATTCAGTTGGTGGAGTTCAGGGTCATGAGAGGAGGGAACAGAGTTAAAAGCAGGATAGCAACCCTACTGATGAAATTACTAGCTCACTGAATGAGAGGAGGACAGTGAATGTTTATTTTAGCTTTAGCTAGTAAGACTTTCAACACTGTGTCCTCTACCATCCTCATAGATAAACTGGGAGATTATGGACTAGGTGAATGAACAGATGAACAGTAACATGTATTGAGCTCAGCTGGTTCAACCAAATTTCAAAGGGTTGTGATCAGTGGCATGAAGTCTAGGCTGGAGGCCATTTACTAGTGGCCCTGTACCATGGATGTTGGTACTGATGTACAAGACCTGGTGGAGAAGAAGTTGTATATGGGCCAGCAATGTGGCCTGCTGGCAAAGAAGGCCAACAGCCTCCTGGGCTGCATTAGGAAGAGTATTGCAAGTGGGTCAGTGTAGGTGATCGTGCCCCTCTGCTCAGCCCTGGTGAGACCCATAATGCGGTGTCCAGTTGTGGGCTCTCCAGTATGAGAATGACATGAACTTATGGAATTGAGTCCAGTGACAGTCCATGCAGGTGGCTGAAGGACTTGAGCATCTGTCATGCTAGGAGAAGCTGAGAGAGCTGGGACTGTGCAGTCTGGAGGAGAGAAGGCTCAGAGAGATTTTATCAATGTGTATTAATACATACCTGATGCGAGAGAGTAAAGAAGATCCACCCAGGCTCTTTTCAGTGACATCCAGTGAAAGGACAAGATGCAATGGGCACAAACTGAAATACAAGGAATTCCATTTAAACACAGGAAAAAACTTTTTTACCATAGAGGTGACCAAGCACCAGAACAAATGGCCCAGAGAGGATGGGGAGCCTCAGTCCCTGGAGATATTCAAGACATGTTCCTGAGCAACCTTTGTAGTTGACCTTTCTTTGGTCAGTGGAGTTGGACTAGACAATGTCCAGAGGTCCCTTCCAACCTCAACCACTCTAAGTCTTTGAAAATAAGCTGAAATTACTGAAAGTACAGAATTTAAGTGTGTGAGGATATAACTATTCATAGTAAATAATTATACATTTACCGATTTGCTGTATTCTTATATGATGGATTGATTTGATAAGTACGCCTTCGTTGCACTATGAGGTTAGTTACTGTGTCAAGAAGAAGATTGGAGAAAAATGAGGAAATTTGAACAGGCTCATGTTTGATTGAACCTGTTCTATTTCTATCAGTATGACTTCAATACATGTGCAGTCTTACATCTCAATACGAAACTAATTTCAAAGGCATTTGTGTAGACAAATATAGTTATTAATAGGGGTTTTAAATAGGATACTTTAAGTCACCTGCAGTTCTGTGAAGGATGTATTTTGGGGATTTTTGTTAGGTTTTTTGAGTTGTGTTTTGATGTGAGTACTTTTATGGGTTTTTTTGTTTTGGTTTTGTTTTGTACGTTGGGGTTTTTTTTTCAGGCTGTCACAAACTAATGTCCTCTTGTGTATCTTGCTCTCAAATGCTGGGCAAATGCTAGCAAGGTCTAAAAGCAAGCAGAGGTAAATGTCAATCTAGAGCAGTCTTCCGCAGAAGATTGGCTAGAAGAAAAAGAAATGCTTCTGTTAATCAAGTGAACAATCTAAAATACTGTGTTGATAGGCTACATATTAAAGCCTGTATTATATTAGACACATCCTATCTTTAATTTAGAGTCTTTGCTTATATTTATCTGTGCAAGAAACTCTACACTTCTCATTGAGATCGTTATTCTGATTAACATTTGACTTCTAAAAGTACTGAGAAAAAGATGTGTAGAATAACATAAAAAGGAAGGAAAATAACCAGGGCCCAGGTAGTAAAATAAAGAGCTGTTTCTTGCTATTCCTAGTGAAAGACGATGAGTCTTGATAAGCTGCCATTTCAGTTTGAGGGTTAACCAAAAGAAGATTTAGAAAGAAATAAATGATCAGCTGCAGACAGGAAAGGTTCTTAACGACAGTACATCCTTATTGGCCTGTTCTGTACTGTATTGACCCATTCTTCACCTTCAAATGAATGGAATAAAATTTTCTCCATAGACCTGATGTAATGCAAACTGGAGACACACCCCCATGTAGTGGTCCTTGAATGTGAATGGTAAAACATGGATTCTCAAGTCTCTAGGTATAGATTCATTTGTAAATTGACAATTTATTTTATTTTAAGGTTGTAAGTTACGAACTTGGAAAACTGGATCAAGAATGTGCGAGGAGACAGTTGCATCTGTTGTCTTACAGGTTTAGATTACACACTTTCAAAGACAACTGGGAGGGCACAATAAGCCATAGTTAAAACATTCCACTCTTTGTTGTAAGGGTAGTGTTATTCAGAATAACTTTAGGCAAGTAGAATTGTGGACTAGTAGAAATAAGCCATTTCCAGACAGGAAAAAATAGACAGGACTTAAATCTTATGAAAAACATAGTATTCTTCTACATTTCCTTTAGCGTGTGGCACACTGATACGTGTCAAGGAAAGAATAGTCTAATATTTGCCTGTCTCTTCAGGTGTGTGTGTCTGTATATACATATAAATATATATATACATGTTCAGACACGTATGAGTATTTATTTCTCACGTGTTTCTTTCTGATAGTGTCTGAAGCTGAAATTTCTAGGGAGGCAGCTGACATGGAAATGAATAGAGAAAAGTATGTCGAAGAACTGAAGAAAGCATTGATAGCTGGAGAAGAATCAGCTGGCAAATATAACTTTGCTATTTCAAGAGATGAAGAAAATATGGAGTGTCACTTCTCCTATGAAAGAAATCTGAATGATGGCTCCGTAAGTATAGTTAAATGTTTACATTTGACTGTTAAACTATGCAAAGGATCGTCTTGGTACATTTCTGTATTTTATTAGGTTCTTTAAAATCCAATAGACTTGTGATGCTGTTGTGGTTTAAACCCACCTGGCAGCTCAGCCTCCCACAGCTGCTCATTCACTCCTCCCTGGTGGATGGGGGAGAGAATTGGAAGAGTGAAAGTGAGAAAACCCATGGGTTGAGGTAAAGACAGTTTAACAGGTAAAGCAAAAGCTGTGCACACAAGTGAAACAAACCAAGGAATTCATTCCCCACTGCCCATGGGCAGGCAGGTGTTCAGCCATCTCCGGGAAAGCAGGGCTACATCATGTGTAATGGTGACTTGGGGAAACAAACACCATCACTCCAAATGTTCCCCCCATTCCTTCCTCTTCCCCGAGACCTTTATATGCTGAGCATGACATCACATGGTGTGGAATATCCCTGTGGTCAGTGGGGTCAGCTGTCCCGGCTGTGTCCCCTCCCAACTCCTTGTGCACCCCCAGCCCACTCGCTGGTGGGGTGGTGTGAGGAGCAGAAAAGGCCCTGGCTCTGTGTGAGCACTGCTCAGCAGGGAATGGAAACATCCCGGTGTTATCAACACTGTTGTCAGCAGAAATCCAAAACACTGCCCCGTACTAGCTACTGTGAAGAAAGTTAACTATCTCAGCTGAAAACAGCACAGATACATATTTCAGATTGAATGAATATCGTGAACGCTGCCACAAGCCAAACTAGAACCATGTTGTTACCTGTCAAAATCTGATATCAATAGAACTATTTATGTGTTACTTTCTTAAATGCTACTGAAGAAGACTATTACTTCTCTATTTAAGTTTTTGATTAGTGTAGTGGTAGGACCAGGGCTAACGACCTTAAGCTGAAGGAGGGTAGATTTAGATTAGATGTTAGAAATAAATTCTCTATAAGGGTGCTGAGGCCCTGGCAGAGGGTGCCCAGAGAAGCTGTGGCTGCCCCTGGCTCCCTGGCAGTGTTCAAGGCCAGGTTGGATGGGGCTTTGGGCAACCTGGGCTAGTGGAGGGTGTCCCTGCCCATGGCAGGGGGGGGTTGGAACTAGATGGGCTTTGAGGTCCCTTCCAACCCAACCATGGTGCTATGATTTATGTTATATTCTTTTTGAGCAGGGTATGCCTACATGTTGCAGCTGCAGTTTGGTATTAAGCTGATACATTTCATAAACTGTAACTTTTTTTTTAATTCCTAACTTTGGGAAGTATGCTTCCTTTTTTAATTCCAGCCCGCCCCCCACATTTCTTCATTGCTTGTTTCTTCTTTCTTCTCTCTCTGTACTCACCTAAATAAGGAAAAATATTAAAATATAAGCAAGATTGTTTTCAAATGCTAAAACATACTTTTAAAATGAGCTTTTCTATTACTTTAAATATTTTGGAAGCTAACACTGAAATTGTTTCCTACTTGGAAATGCATTAAGTCACAACTTGCTATGTGGTTCCGTGTTGGTTTCTTGGCTGCAAAGGAAAGGGTCCTCTTAAAGCAGGAAAGAAACCAGTATAATCTGTACCTGTAGATGCTTTTGGCTATTTGAGTTTGTGATTTGGTGTTAAAGCTTTCCTGGGGAAGAAACTAATTTAAGGTAATCATCCTTGCTTCTACTCTTTTTTCCTTCTTTTTTTCTTTTTTCCCCCCTCTAAAAATTAATGATCCACCTTTCCCAAGGTCTGTCACAACTTCAGTTTTGCTAGGATAGCAGTTGGGCTGACTGACCACTTAGTGACATTAGTGAAATAATTTGGATTTAAAAAGCACTGATTTAAAATTGCTCTGATCCACAATTGCACTGATCCACTTCAGGACACAGTCCTGCAATCAGTTTCACTGGCATTATTGAGGAGGAAAAAATTGTGGGGATAGAATGGAGGCAAGATTGCAGATAGAGAACAGATAGAGAAGAGTAGGAATGTCTTTGGCCAGATTTGATTTTTTTTTTTTTTTTTTTGTCCCAGGGGAAAAGTCGGT